GTGGTTTTTATGCTTCTTGTTCTTGATCTTGTTTTGTTCAGCACTTGGTAATGTTGCTCTAAACAGCTCATGCATAGATTGGGTTCATCACAACTTTCCAATGAGTCTGTAGTTTCACATTGTGGTGGAGACTGATTGTTTATAGCTAGATTCTCCGATTTAAAGTTATAATCCTTGTTAACAATACAGATCAACTATGTTCTAATTATGTTATCATAATGCTGTTGGAGAAATAAGTACATAAACATAACTCAGAGTTCAGTAATGATCCATTTCAGACGCCTTGGTGAGGTCAGGAAGAATGAAATGTTTCCTTTGTTGCTACTGCAGCAGCTCTGACCCTGAGTCTCTGTGATTACGTTCTCTTATAGCGAAAGGACAACGATTCAATTATATCAAATACGTTTCAGTGCGTCTTCTGGTCACACCAACAATGCGTAAATTAGCTTTGAGCAACAGGAGATAAGCAGTTGGAGACAGAGGATCTGATAAGGTCGTTACCATGTTAAAGGCCTGTCGGTATCATTTAGTTTCTCGGTAAAAACATAACATTACAACTTGTACATTTCAGTCTAAAAGTGGTGACAATTTAAAAAAAAGCATATTCATGATGTTGGACTTTCAGACCGAATAATATAGCAGGTTTTTGAATCTAATCACTAACAAATAATAATCTGGGAAAAGATTCAGACTTCTTTCCCCTAGAGTTGAATCGGCACCTGCCCTCCAACTAAAACACAATCCCACAACACAAACTCTACCTATTTATGCGTATGAGGAGTACGCAGTGAGCTATTTGAAGAAAGATGGCGCATATAGAAGATAAACTATCGTGAGTGTCAGAATGATGAGAAATGAGGGCAGTCGCCACGGTCATTCATAATGTAAAACTAAATATTTCTCTCAGCGTTTTAGGATAAGCTGAAAAACATGCCTCCTGCTGTGAGAAGGGTTCAGCCGATGGAACAGTCGTGTTGTGTCACAGAATGGAGATTTTTCTGTCAAACCAAATGTAAAACCAACTGAGATTTCCATATTCAATTGTGTGCACACCTTGCTGCAAACAGAAAGTCTTTTCAGAAAGACTTTTGGATATTGTAGATGCATGATTAGACAATTAGACCCGGCAGAATATTGTCACGTTTCAAAAAAAGAAAGGAGGACCCAAAATGAACTACTGCAAATAATAAAATAATTGATTAAACAAGAACCAAAACCAAGGCTCAACTGAATGTGCAACACAGGAACTGAGTAACAAACATCCATCCATCCATCCATCCATTTTCTTCCGCTTTATCCGTTGCCGGGTCACGGGGGTAGCAGTCTAAGCAGAGACGCCCAGACTTCCCTATCCACACACACCTCCTCCAGCTCGTCCGGGGGGACCCCAAGGCGTTCCCAGGCCAGCTGAGAGACATAGTCTCTCCAGCGTGTCCTGGGTCTTCCCCGGGGCCTCCTCCCGGTGGGACGTGCCCGGTACACCTCCCCAGGAAGGCGTCCAGGAGGCATCCTGAACAGATGCCCGAGCCACCTCAACTGGTTCCTCTCGACGTGGAGAAGCAGCGGCTCTACTCCGAGCTCCTCCCGTGTGACTGAGCTCCTCGCCCTATCTCTAAGGGAGCGCCCAGCCACTCTGCGGAGGAAGCTCATTTCGACCGCTTGTATCCGCGATCTCGTTCTTTCGGTCATTACCCACAGCTCATGACCATAGGTGAGGGAGGGAACGAAGATTGACCGGTAAATTGAGAGCTTTGCCTTTCGGCTCAGCTCCCTCTTTACCACAACGGTCCAATACAGCGACCGCATCACTGCGCACGCTGCACCGATCCGCCTGTCTCACGCTCCATCCTCCCCTCACTCGTGAACAAGACCCCGAGATACTTGAACTCCTCCACTTGAGGAAGGACCTCTCCACCCACCTGAAGAGGGCAAGGCACCTTTTTCCGGTCGAGCACCATGGCCTCGGATTTGGAGGTGCTGATTCTCATCCCAGCCGCTTCACACTCGGCTGCAAACCGTCCCAGTGCATGTTGCAGGTCCTGGTTCGTTGGAGCCAGCAGGACGACATCATCCGCAAAAGTAGAGATGAAATCCTGTGGTTCCCGAACCGGACCCCCTCCGGCCCCTGGCTGCGCCTAGAGATTCTGTCCATAAATACAGTGAACAGAACCGGTGACAAAGGGCAGCCTTGGCGGAGGCCAACATGCACCGGGAACAGGTTTGACTTACTGCCGGCAATGCGGACACAGCTCTGGCTCCGGTCATACAGGGACCGAACAGCCCTCAGCAGAGGACCCCGGACCCCGTACTCCCGGAGGACCCCCCAAAGGACACCCCGGGGAACACGGTCGAACGCCTTCTCCAAATCCACAAAGCACATGTGGACAGGTTGGGCGAACTCCCATGAACCCTCGAGTATCCGATGGAGAGTATAGAGCTGGTCCAGTGTTCCGCGACCGGGACAAAAACCACACTGCTCCTCCTGAATCCGAGATTCGACCATCGGACGTAGCCTCCTCTCCAGTACCTTGGAGTAGACCTTACCGGGGAGGCTGAGGAGTGTGATCCCACGATAATTGGAACACACCCTCCGGTCCCCCTTCTTGTAGAGAGGGACCACCACCCCGGTCTGCCACTCCATTGGCACTGCCGCCGATCGCCACACGATGTTGCAGAGACGTGTCAGCCAAGACAGTCCTACAACATCCAGAGACTTTAGATAGTCAGGACGGATCTCATCCACTCCCGGCGCCTTGCCACCATGGAGGCTGCAAACCACCTTGGTGACCTCGGCCAGGGAGATGGAAGTATCCGCCTCAGCATCCTCAGCCTCTGCCTCCTGGACGGAGGACGTGACGGGGGGATTGAGGAGAACCTCGAAGTATTCCTTCCACCGCCCGACAATATCCCCCAGTCGAGTTCAGCGCCGGACGGTTTGCCAGAACCTCTTCGAGGCCGACAGATAGTCATGCTCCATGGACTCTCCGAACTCCTCCCAGTCCCGGGTTTTTGCCTCTGCAACAGCCCGGGCCGCGGCACGTTTGGCCTGCCGGTACTGGACAGCTGCCTCAGGAGTCCCACGAACCATCATTGCTCGATAGGACTCCTTCTTCAGCCTGACGGCATCCCTTACTGCCGGTGTCCACCACCGGGTTCGGGGATTGCCGCCGGGACCAGCACCAGAGACCTTGCGACCACAGCTACGAGCCGCTGAATTGGCGATAGAGGAAGAGAACATGGTCCACTCGGACTCAATGTCCCCCTCCTCTGCCGGGACCTGGGAGAAGCTCTCCCGGAGGTGTGAGTTGAAAGTCCGTCTGACAGGGGGCTCAGCAAGACGTTCCCAGCAAACCCTCACTACACGCTTGGGCCTGCCAGGTCTGACCGGCCTCCTGCCCTGCCAGCGGATCCAACTCACGACCAGGTGATGATCGGTTGACAGCTCCGCCCCTCTCTTCACCCGAGTGTCCGAAACACGCGGTCGAAGGTCAGATGATACAACTACAAAGTCGATCATCGACCTCCGGCCTAGGGTGTCCTGGTGCCACGTGCACTGATGGACACCCTTGTGCTCGAACATGGTGTTCGTGATGGACAGGCCGTGACTGGCACAGAAGTCCAACAACTGAACACCGCTCGAGTTCAGATCAGGGGGGCCGTTCTTCCCGATCACCCCTCTCCAAGTGTCACTGGCATTTCCCACATGGGCGTTGAAGTCCCCCAGGAGAATAACGGAGTCCCCGGGCGGTGCACTGTCCAGTACCCCTCCCAAGGACTCCAAGAAGGCCGGGTACTCTGCACTACCGTTAGGCCCGTAGGCTGTCACAACAGTGAGAGACTTGTCCCCCACCCGCAGGCGGAGGGACGCGACCCTCTCATTCACCGGGGAGAACTCCAACATGTGGCGGCTGAGATGGGGGGCAATGAGTATGGCCACCCCAGCTCGCCGCCTCTCCCCGCGGAAAACACCAGAAAAGTGGAGCGTCCAACCCCTCTCAAGGAGTTGGGTTCCAGAGCCCAAGCTGTGTGTGGAGGTGAGGCCGACTATCTCTAGTCGGTATCGCTCAACCTCCCCCACAAGCTCGGGCTCCTTCCCCCCCAGTGAGGTGACGTTCCACGTCCCAAGAGCCAGATGTTGGGTGTGTGGACTGGGTCGTCGAGGTCTCCGCCTTCGACTGCTGCCCAGTCCTCTCTGCACCTCGCCACCACGGACCCCTCTGCAGGTGGTGAGCCCACAGGAGGGACTGCCCACGTCATCCCTTCGGGCTGAGCCCGGCCGGGCCCCGTGGGCTAAGGCCCGGCCACCAGGCGCTCGCTTGCGAGCCCCGACCCCAGGCCTGGCTCCAGGGTGGGGCCCCGGCTGCGCCATGCCGGGCGACGTCACGGTTCTCATTGTTGTGCTGTCCATGGTTGGCTTCGGACTGCGCTTCGTCTGACTCGTCACTTGAGACCTGTCTGCCATGGGAGACCCTACCAGGGGCATGAAGCCCCAGACAGCATAGCTCCCAGGATCATCCGAGTGCTCAAACTCCCCCACCACGTTAAGGTGGCAGTCCAAGGGGGAGTAACAAACATAAACACATTAAATGAATAACACAGGGAGACATGGATGAATCACATTGGGGCAAAATAATCAACTGGACAGACAGGAAGCAAACTCAAGCCCCAAGAGAACGAATATAAAGCAAAACAAAAGCAGGTAAAAACAATCAAAAAGTCCACATCATGACAAATATTGCAGGACAGAAATAAAAGAGACATTTTGAGAGTACGATCCCCCAAGGGTCTAGACCAGGAGCGACAAACCGGCCGTCAAAGGGCAGGTGTGGCTGCAGGCTACAGTTCCAACGTCAGCAGGAGCACGGCAGAGTCCACCCATTTCCTCAGGTCTTCAGGTTAAAACTGGACACCCCTGGTCACGACCCTGGTGGTGGTGGTGGTGGGAGTGATTTTTCCAGTGGCCTAACGCAGAGACGGTGAGGCGGTGTTTGAATGCAGTCATGAGGGTGGTGCAGGTGTGATGTACCGCTGAGCTGGTGCTTGAAGAGCTCAGGTGCAGGTGTGTGGCAGTGGGATCGTGACCACGGGAGGGATTCTGATTACTCTGATCTTAGTGCGCTGCTTCCATTTCAATGAAAATGTGCGAAAATGTCCAGTGGAGACAAAGTAGATTTAAATTACGACCTGAGCATGTGTTGAATTAATGTGTGAATTGACTTTTTGTGAACCCTGAATGAAACGGGGAAAAGGTAAAGTTCAAATTACAATCTTTTTAAATTTATTTTCAGAACCAATCCAACACTGTGGATTATGAAAATAAAACATATCTCAAACCTTGCAGCATAAATACACATTATGACTTCTACATACTTCTACAGTCTATATTTCTGACCTGTGAACATGAAGCTGTAGGGCTAATAGATGCTAATAGTGCTACGTTCATGTTCTCTTTCAATAAAGCAGAATAAGAGCATCCACAAAAGGGCTGTTTTCATCCAGGCAGTTTTACACAGAAAATATGCTCAAGCCGAAGTACTTTTGACACTGGACTCTGTAGAAAACATTATACATAATTCAGTCATATCTCTCTTAGTATTATGGTGTTGAGACAATAGATTCATTTGCAGTAAAACCACATTGGAATATATCTGCAAAAGTCCCCAGTGTGCACCAGACAAGCAAATAAATAGAACAGGGTTAAAAGTAACAGGAATGACACAAATTAGAAAAAAAGTGCAGGAAACATTTGACACCAAAATCGATCGACTAAAACAGCTTCAATACAAGTGCAAGATCATTCCAATGTAATGTTGGTAAAAGTAACTGACCTAAAACACAAGAACTAAATGATTATCTTCACCACATCTCGACCCACCACCTGCAGGAGGGTCAGTGAGGGGCTGGTGCATGTGTACTGGGTGTAGCTCAGACTGCCGCCCCCACGACCCAGAAATGGATTAAGGGGAAGAAGATGAATGGATGGGTGTACATATGTAAACCTCTGCTATATTTAACACGCTTTGTCAAACTTGACTTTAGTTATTATTATTGACAATTATTGTTTAAGCATATTTTTGTGTCCATATTTGTAGAACTATTACTTCCGTACAATTACTGTCCGGCCTGCATCATTGAACAACTGTTAGAAAAATGTTTTATCATAAGTATCATCGTTTCATGAAAAGGATCACAAATAATGTTGCCTTTTTTGTTACTGTTCGGCTTTTGGTTTTCTTTCAGCCGCCGCAGGGACTGCTTCGTGCCTCTGTGTGTTAACTTTAACAAGATCATTTTACAACAAAAGAACCAAAGCAGTAGCAAGCAAAGAAGTTCAACATTCATCTAACTTTAGTGTTTTGTATTTTACTCTCCTTTTTACCACTTGTTATTCTTAAACACCAATGAGCCCTGACCCTAACCTCGGCCATATACTTCGTTGGTTAGCCGTCGTATTCGCTTCATCCCAATGCTCTTTGCTGCATCTGCATCTCTGGTTTTTTGTTTACCCATAACCACTGGCAGATTCATCTCCGTCCATATATTTGGACCTGTTTTACTCCTCTTCATTAACCGCCATAACTTCCCCGGCTGCGGCCCCCCCCCCCTCCCCTCCCCTCGCCGCTTTCTGACAGAAAGACAGGAGATATAGCGTGTGCGGTGGCCAGCGGGGGTTTTAAGTGCTGCTTGTCAGGTGCGCCCCTAAACCATTGTATCATGGCAGGTGTATGCGTGACGGCTGGGACTCGGGGAGGTCTCGCTTGGTTGGGTTTTTATGGCCACATGTGATGGTGGATTTTAGCCCATAGACAAGTCATATTTTGTCCCATTGGGTGGTCCTGCTACGCCCGGACCTCAGCATATTGGACCATTATAAGTCAACATTACAACCTGCAGTTTTATGGCACACATTCACTTACACATGCACAGCGGAGGTCCGAGCGCGCGCTTCGTAAAACAGCCTATCAAATTGTTTAATGTCTTGTGTCCCATTATGTCTATTAAAACGGAAACCTGCACAGTAGCATTTGTTTGTGCAGTGTAATGTGTTTCATAGATGCATTTTCCCGTATGAATCCACCTGTGGCCAACTGTAGGACATACCACACCCTGTATTTTATATTTTTAATTTATTTTATTTCATTGAGTGATTGAAATTAACAAGAGCTGGGCACTAGAAGTCATTACGGTGGCACAGGGGTTAGTGCGTGTCATGTATGTCACAGCAAGAAGCTCCTGGTTTGATTCCACCTCCAGACTGGGCCTTTCTGTGTGGAGTTTGCATGTTCTCCTGGTGTCCGCCCCATGTTCTCCATGCTCTGTTTTCCCCTACGACTAAAAACATGTACAATAGGTCTATATGTGATGAGTGAGTGAATGAAAAATACATCAATGCTCATTTAAGTGCTATATTAAACTCAAAAGAAGGCAGAAATGAAAAAATACTTATTGTAGCATCCCCAGTTTATTCTGCCGTCACTGTGTATGCAGAGAATGGGATTTACTAGTTCCCCGAAATAGTGCTTTGTGTGACCTTGGTCTTTGAAATAAACACTACTTGCCACTATATTTGGGGAAAGAACTAGAGGATGAAACAAAAACATGTTCGAACCTATTTTACTTTGAAATAAAGTGTTTAAAGACAGAAGTATTGACAATATATGTGTAGGAAACACAGGGATGACCTCAGAACAGAATTATGAAAGAGAGACGTTTGGTCAGACCCATGTTATGTGTGTGTGTTTCGTCTTGAACCATCAATAGTGGAATAGTATTGTATTGTGCTGTATAATGTCTGTTGATTTGCTGAATTGCCCTGTGTGGCATTGGCTTTGTGATGAATCAATTGGCCAGAGACAGACTCAGTTGACCAGTTTATTTGCTGCAGGCTTTCATAAATAGGCTACATAGATGCAGGACTTTTTATGCAAACAATCAGTCATTCATTGATGTATGACAGAGAAGGGATAGGACAGAGATATGAATGGACATGTCGTGCATTTATCAAGTTGACCGAGCTTCAAAGTTTATCCAGTGTCTGTTCAGTTCAGTTCAGATTGTTTTATTTGAGCTCAGAGCAAACACATGCAGTTGATACAATGGAAAAGACATCAATGCTCATTCAAGTGCTAAAAAGAACACACAGAGGAGGGATGTTCTGTTGTTATAGCCTTGATATGTCAGTGGGAGTTAGGGGCTGCAAGCAAAGTGGGGTTAAGTGTCTTGCCCAAGGACACAACGACAGCAGACATCAGTTGGAGCCGGTAGAGAAGGTCCCCCCCCAACCCCCACTGATGCCAAAATTGGAAAACCTTGACAATCGCGACAAATACAACATTTACCTCACTCTAATTATTGACTCATCATTAATTACTTTGACCCTTAAAAATTGCATTGATGATTAACTTAACAATCGCCTTTTTGCCTACCTTTTCATTGCATAATTAGATTGTATGTATTGTATGTTCTAAGTAATAGATTTCAGAAGTACTGTATCCGACCAGTTTTGTCCAGGGCTGTATCTATAGTTCAGACTCGGACACCGACCTCTGGAACCTCATGTTGTAAAGCTTTAGACTGTCTCCATGCAGCTTAGAATCTGACGCTGATTCGGGTCCAAAATGTACCATCAACTGTTGTTATAGACTTGGTTGTTTCCTGATCCTCCCTCAGCTCAAAGTATCAAATTATTAATGACTCCGGTGCGGGAACAGCTAAGTGCTTTTATTATAAATGTTGCTGGCAGACCCACCCCGACTTTTATTTGGAAGGTGATCAAGTTTCTCTTCCTTGTTTGCATACCGTAATGAAACACCCTCATCTCCTTGTTTCATACACAAGGAGAAATACGGCCCAAGACTAAATCAATCCCGCTTGTTTTTTGTGTGTCACCAGAGTAAGGTGAATCCACTGAACGTGACGCCGCCCATTCAAGCCGTGGACCAGGACGAGAACATCCAGCCGCCATCGGACAGACCCGGAATCCTCTACTCCATCCTCCTCGGTAAGACAGGTTTTTTTCCTTTAGGCCTAACGTACATCGACAGAGTAACTGTAGACAGCTAGTTGCAAGGCGGCTTTTGGCAACTGAGAGGAGATGATGGAAATGATCAGTTGCCGAAATCGGTCGATGTGAGCGCTCTCACAACTGGAGATAAACAGTTGGTCTCCAGATTCAGTCAGTTGCCCGTGTTCTCCTTTTCGGCAACTAGTTGTACTCAGATCCGGAGATACGACCCGATGTGCCCTGCTACTAGGAGTTGCCCGTTTTTGCCAGATTGCACAATTATCCAACTTATACACTACAAAGTCCTTTTTTGCTAAAGAAAACTGTCTTATAGTAATGTCATTTAAGCATAGTCTTAAAGTGCAATACAAGAACGACAAACGAAAGACAAAACCAAACATAATGCAATGAAATACTGTGGCTACATCAGATATTTAGTTGAAATCAGATCTGTGTGGAGCAACAAACGGTTTCCAAGTTGTTTATCAAATGTGTCCAGTTCGAGTCTCATTGAATATTGAGCTTTTCCGTTTTACAAATTGTGTGAATGACATTGAACCAATCTTCTAGTGTAGGTACAATATCACTGATCCATGAGACGCTTTTTGGCAACATCATGACCACCGCTAGTACCCACAGGATACTGGTTTCATGAGAAATAAAACACATTTGTAAACTTTAGTTCCATCTTGCTCTTGCCACTTATTACAAAGATCAACCATTGATGACCCTTTTATCAATTACCCTCAACCAAAAGCACTTGAGTGATTCTTACCAAGACAAATGTCCACTGCTTAAGTCAGGTCGTTCAGTAGTGCTGCCTTCGTTATGGGGGTCAGAAGTACTTCAGGCTGTAGAAGCAGGTCCCACAGTCGATCCTTCAGACATTTATGGATATGGTGTGTGTGGTGAGGGGCCGATCCTCACGACTGACTTGAGAAACAAGAACAATGGATGAATCACTGGAACATGCGCTTGAGTTTTTGAGTCTAAGTAGACCTGAAGACCCATGTTTATCAAAGTCATAATATTCTGTGCTGAAGAAAATGCTAGATTCATGCAATGGACATTTATGGCTCATTTATGACCAATGGTTCTGAGTGTATTTTTATCATAGCATTTCTTGTGCTTGAACTGTTTGATTCTCTGTCCTCTGAGATGAATAGCATAGATTGAAAGATCCTTTATTCGTCCCACAGTGGGGAAATCTCAGTGTTGCATCACAAGATATAGAACTGACGGAATGAGGAGCACACAGCACAAGAATTTTGATTATCAAAATGAAACAAAATGTCTAACATCAAATAACAAGTATAAAATCTCTATCTTAAACATAATAATAATAAAAAGGTAGTATACAAGGTTTTGTTGTGATTTAGGGCTATACAAGAATAAATTGAATTGAATTGCATGTGATAAGCTTCTTTAGTGCCTATTACATAAACCAGAGGTGTCCAAACTTTTAAGTATCTTTAGTTCACCTGGTTTTTTCCATGGGTCAATAATGGGTCAGATTGTAAAACTGTTTTGACCGGATTCAGGCGGTTCTGATCGTTATGATTAGCTATGACAGTGCTGAAGTTGGCTGAATCACAAATGACCATCTACATTTTGTGACAATATCAAAAACAAATGTCAGTTTATACAATTAGGGTTAATGGGATTGAATTTCAGAGGTTTTGAGCTTTACATACGACATGGTCTCCAGGTTGGAAACTGCAGGTGGCCAATGATACGGTGCTGATATAATACGGAATAAATAGTAATTCATTCCATATCATATCTTGTCAGATGAATAATTCTTGTCCGATGAAACTCAGGCCTCATTTTCGGTCATATTGCGGGAACCTTTTTTACATAATTCTTCAACTTCAGCAATCCGTCTAAATGAGTTGTCAATGCTGCTTGAAAGTGATCTGATGCTAACGTATTGAGACACAAGTCACCAGCTCCCTCTACCTTTTTTTCCTGAAACCTGATTCAATATTCACTTTATGTCGAGCTTTCTTGCTTTTTAACAAGATTTGGCTTTAACTGGCTCTGAATATTTCTCAAGAGGCTTTAAAGAAGTTGTTTGCCGGCTAACTTCCCGAAAGAGCCCATCTCAGCGGGAGCCAATCAAACCAGTTTACTGTAATGTCATCGCAGACAGAGGACGGTTTCCCAAAAGTGGGCTGGAGAGGCGTGATTGTCCACATTGGCTCGTACCACTGCTTGATTCCTCATCAGAACCACCGCTAACTTTCAAAAGAGCACTGTGCCTCGACGCGTACACGTTCCAGTGTGTCCAAGAGCCACCTGCGGAGAGACGAGATAGGCAAACTGGGAGCATTTTCGACGCTTGTCTTTCATCACGCTCTCGATACTGGAATCAAATTACTGATGTAACCTCCAACGGTTGTGTCATTTGACTTTTTTCTTTCCCAGGAAAACCCGAGTCGTACGCGCAATACTTCAGCCTGAATCGCACCACGGCTGAGCTGCTGCTGCTGAGGCCCATCGACAGGGAGCTGTTCCACAAATTTGATCTTGTTATAAAGGTGAGAGCCAGCGGGGGGCAATGGTGTAAGGTCAGCGCAGGTTGTAAGCATGGACCGGAATGCAACCCGCCATGCTGTCTGCGAGTGAGTCTATCTCCTCCCGGGTTAGAGGTGAGATCAGCCTCTTCAATTGAGTTTCATCTTCAAAAGAATGTGTATTTCTGACCGTGGGACCCTGTACTATCATGTACAGTAAGTAGTTTTCAACTATAACATGTTTAAGGCGAAAACAAAGTGGAAAAGGTCAGCGGCATTCTGATAAAAATCCTTTATCATTGTAGGGACATTCAGACGTGTTTCAACCCCTCTTGGGTCTTTATGAAGGCAAGCAATGTTAGGATTAGTCTAGTTTCAAGTAATGTTGCTTATTTTTCCTCATTCTAAGGGAGACATTTCTTGTATCTCTTTAACACAAGATCATTTTGCTGTTCCGATTGGCAAATCTTGTTTTAAGGCTGTCAAAATGTGCTCAGTTTGCCTTATTTTTCATCACTTTTTGCAGTGTATGCACATTGGTACACATCATATAAAAAGCTTTGTCTTCTTCTTCTATCTGGAAGAAGTTGAAAATAAACCAAGGGTCAGAGGTCTGATTTCTCGACAATTTATGAAAAAGCAGACACCTCATCCTCACCTTCAAACTTGTAATCTAAAAGTCTATTAGATGCTAATTCAAAGGGGTTCTCGTACCTAAATCCAAAATACATATACATACATATATATACACACATTTGCATCACACATACAGTTTATTATTTACCCATTTCTTATTCCAAATGTTGTCCTTCTCTTTGTTGTGGAGTCTACAGTGAGAAGCCGCTGCCGTTATGCTAATCCCTTTGAGACATGAGGCCGCACAGCTCTGTAAAACCCTGTGTGAAAAGGGACAGAGGAGCGACATTAGGGGAACACAATGGAACAGAATGGGAGACAGAAGCAACAAGCGTGAGATGAAGATAACAGTGTTAGGCAGGAATAAGCCACGGATAAAGAAGGAGAGGAGGCACAAATGAAACGCACACACACACGGGCACACAGGCAATCAGACGGACACTTGTTTAAAATGGCAAGCTTCAATACATTTCTCTCTACTCAGTCAGTACACTGCAAAAAGTGATGAAAAAAAAGTCGGGTATTGCTCAAATGTGGCAAAATGTATGTATAATTTGGTGTATATGTAATGTGTATGTACATGAATGTATGTATATGCATATTGGGTTTAGGTACAAGAACCCCTTTGAATTAGCATGAATTTTAAAGTTTTAGATTTAGAAGTTTAAATATGGGGTATGTACTTTTTCATATATTGTCGACAAAATAGACCTGTAACCCATGTGTATCAATGTTTATACACTGCAAAAAATTATTACAAAAATAAGTCAAAAATTGCTCAAATTTTGCAAAATATATCTTAATTTGACCACATTTTGGCTGCCTTAAAACAAGATTTTCCAAAAGGACAAAGCAAAACGATCTTGCCTTAAAAATATACAAGAAAAGTCTCCCTTAGAATGAGAAAATAAAGCAACAGTTCTTGATAAAAGACTAAATGGCAGAATGTACTAAATATGTGATTAAAAAAAAACCACATGATGTAAGCGATTATTATAATATTTAATCTCTTTTTGCAGTGTACATGAATGATTGGCTCCTGGTTCTTTGAGCAGCCTGACAACACTTTCTATCTCTGTTGATAGACATTACTATTTCAATGTGTATTAACCAGACGGATCAGTCCTGATGCGTCTCACCACGGCGTTCTATTGAGTGGCTTTGTTGTGGAACCCGCATTGAACCGTCGATGCATTGATTGTAGACGCCAGCCACACAAACGCAGGATTAGTGGCGGCGGCGGCGGTTCGCTCTATGATTCATCTCAGGAGAATCAACACATTTTCTTTTCTCTTTCGCCTCAAGGCAGAGCAGGACAACGGCCACCCCCTGCCAGCCTTCGCCAACCTTCAAATCGAAATCCTTGATGAAAACAACCAAGCTCCCTACTTCCTGGAGAGGAGTTACCATGGCTACGTCAGCGAAGCGTCTCCGGTGGGGACGACCGTAGCCTCCGACGCGAGCCTGGCCACGCCGCTGTCCGTGGTGGCCCTGGATAACGACGTGGAGGAGGTGAGGGGGCGGTGTTTTAAATGCAGCTGGTAAAATTCATGAATAAATATATATGTGGCATCAATGGTATTCAAGCTCAGGTGTGAATGTAGCGTTGATCATTGTGTCAGGCCTGTGGGTAATGTACTGGGAGATGCAGTCAACAAATCTATGTAGAAGGGGAAAATGTAGACCAGAAAAAATTAAAAGAATAATATGAATGTGATCAATAATGTCTGTTTATGTGCAATGAGGGAATTCCCATTTCTAAAGTTAAATCTGAATGTGCAAAACTAATCTACCTACCTACCAACCTACGGCTGTAGGTCATGATTCAAAGTGGAGGAAAACCCAAAAGGTAATACTGCACAAATGATAAAATTCAACAGTAGGACTTCCAGAAATCTGAAAGTACTTGTTCTCCCAGAGCCTTCTGACTCCCACACCAATGAAACTCTGAGAAAATCCCCAAAAACAGTTTTAGTTTTCCACCAGTTTGAATAATTTTAAGTCATTTAAATAAGATTGTCACCTTCGATATGTGCTAGAACTGCTGAATATAACTTGGGATACAGTAGAACAGGTTGTCTAACTGCTGCAACTTAACCCTGTGTAGCTACGGTATCGAGCACTGGCATTTTTCTGGTCAAAAAATAAAGCTCAGAACCAGATCCAGTCCAGAACGAGTCTAGAACCAAGACCAGACCAGTCCACGACCATCTCCTTGAGGAAAGTTCACAGTAATCGCATTGGTGTACGTCAGATAACTACCGTAATTTTGGGCCTGTAGATTCTCTCTCTCCTCTTGATCTAAACAGTTTCCCAGCTCTGTTAAACCAATATCTCCAGACTGACGCGCCACAATTCTCTTTTCTGTAGGTGCCAAACAACAAGTCTCCCGTAGGTATCCATGGAACTGTTGTGTGTTTCTCTTTTACTCTTTACTTTTTCTGCCAAAAGCTTGAGTTGAGGCACTGCACATTTCTCCGGAAGTTTTATCTCTTCTTCTGAGTAAAGTTAGATTTGTGTTTGTTTTCATATTGTCTCATATAAAAGAAAGAAAACACACATTGTAAGTGTCCGTCTGTAATTGTACATTAGCATTAGCGGCTACATTGAGAGAACTTGTAGATTCACATGTTATGAGACTTGCTCTTTTTGGCTCCGTCTGCACCTTTGTCTACACCTGCAATTCCACTTCATTAAATTATCCTTTTGAATCTAAAATTAACCCTCGCACTATTGAGGTTCTCCATCACACCATCACTCCAATCAGCTAAATTATACATAAACATCTGTTCCTTGATTTGAAGCCAAGGCAATTTCCATTAATTCTTGATAATTCCCAAGAACGCCGCACGCCGACATGGTTAGCGAGGGTTCAGCGCACATTGCACACTTTCTCATCCTTTATGTAGGTTGCACTTATGTATTTAATAATGCATTTAATTAAACTATATTGTAAACAAAGCAACATGGCGGCGGCGGTCCTCATCAAAAATTAAACGCCTCTTCTCTCTGTTCTCGCGTCTCGGCTCTTCTCGTTTGTGCCGTGCTTGCAGTGTGTGTGTGTGTGTGTGTGAAGTGCTCTGTCTAATTTCCCTCACGATCAGATAGTAAAGCCATTGCACCATTTAAATTGGCTTTTAGTGATAATACTAGAATTTACAGTGGAGCGCCATTGTTATCACTAATGCATTCCCCAGAGCTTAGTTTATTTAAGATGTAGCACGTTATCCTGACAAAAACAGGCCACGCTTCAGCGCCTTCTGGAACAGCCCAGTGTTGGAAAAGGGGCTTAGGGAGCTTTTATTTAGAGTCCCCACTTTTTACAGCAAATAGAATGACGGTTGGATGTCAAATGTATGTGTTCTGTAGCAAGGGCGTAGGTTTGCATGGGGACTGAAATGTCCGCACCAAATATAAGTCTCCTCGCCTCCGCAGCAGCAGCTCGTAACCCGCTCGTCTCGGCTCCGTGATTGGCCGTCTTACTCGCTTGTGCCCGGAATTCATATCTATTGATAACAGAGCGACGGGCCAAATTGTTCGAGAATGTAGACACATGTAGCCAGTTTCAAGAAACGTGTTATATGTTTTCTCTGTGCGTGATAAAATGTGACAAGAGAAAAGTATGCAAAGAATTCTGCCATAAAATTATTCATGAGGCGTAGAGTAAGTGACATTGCATTCTATATTGCACTTGCTTGTGGTCCAGTGGTTAGGATTAGGGCATTTCCAGTTTGGCGGCCGGAGTTTGGGTCCCAGTCAGGATGTGAATATTCAAAAATAAATTAAAAAATGTATTTGTGTCCCCATCAAAGCTGAAACCAAAGCTGTACTTGTTATTCTGTGTGTCGTTTTGGATTGTTGAAAGCAAACTGTTTTTATTTTGTTATTTATTTATTTGTTTATTTGACAGGGACATTGCACAATAGATGGATTGTTCGGACCGGACATTGCTACAAGCTTATTTTCATTCGCAGCATGTCGGGTTAATGTGACATCACAACTTTCCAAAGAGCCCATATTTTAATTTGTGGTGGAGGGCAGCTGAAACATCTTTCAGGGTAACTATGGTAACTGTCATGAGTCTTTGCTTAGAGGTAATTTCTAGAGCCAATTCTATCCAAATTGTTGCACAAATGTGTGGATTTATAGAAAACAAATGGATTTCAAAAGGGAAAATAGATAGGATGACAAGGGACACTATATACAGTAACCACTAAACCAACCTTTGATAACGCCGTAGGTTCTATGACATTTGAGGATGAGTCTTAGTTGATAACATTGAGGTCTATGGGGGGGAAAAAAAAAAAAATCTTTGGTAGCCCTGGTGAATTTAGCGTACCACCATAACAAGGCAAGCTTATTTGTATAGAACAAATCATACACAAGACAACTCAAAGTGCTAAACAAAACATGATAGCTGGGGAGAGGCTAATGCTAGCACTATCGTACCCTTAGCCATAACACATCCGCAATCTATACACCTTCAAATGATCTGGGAAAACATTTGGACATTTCTAATCAGCATTACTTTAAAACAAATGTCTGTTTTCCTATTGGCACCTGCCCTTCAGCTGAAAAAGAATATCTACAACCTTTGTTCTTTTCTCTGGTTGTATGGCTGACAGCGTTGTGTGATGGACCTTTCTCCGAGTCGTTGTGTGATAAATGTAGACGTATATTTATTTGCTTTGGTGAGAACAGCCGGACGCGACACGAACTGTGCTAATGGATCCATGTGTGAAACTTGCTGTTCCTGTTACATCAATACAAAGCCTAACACCTTTAATTGAGTTTAATAATAGTTCCCTTGACTCCGCCAGACTGCTCTCTCAAGCTAATGTGCAAACACCAAGCAATGAGATGTGTGCAAATGTGGACAAATACAATTACATATGATACAAGCATACATATAACACACAATTATGCTATGGCAGGTGTGACGTATATTTCCAATGATCGTAGAAATACAGTTTATTACTTTATTGTGGATCATTAGTTCACACTTTTACCCCATAATACATTCAGAACAATTTATTTCCTAATTTTTTTCCTACTTTGCTCGTCTTGTGTCAAAAAATTACTATAAAACAGATCTAAACTAAAGTGTCAATTAAAGTATCTGGGCTTTAAAAGGTTATAACTCAAAAACTAAAATTACTATCATAGACTGGAAAAAAAAGATTTCAAACACAGACACATTGAAGAAATAGTGCGGATAAAATCAAAAGGAAAGATTGACAAATGTATTTTTGCCGAAATTTTAAACGCCTCTGATTTGACCATTCTACTGTGACACCAGTGATATAGAAAAAAAAATGTACTCAGTCTGAAAAAGCGGCAGCTGAAATCCCACAAGATTTACATGGTTAACACAACAGAAGGAAATCACTTAATCGGAAAAAGATAAATGTGTAAATGTGTTACGGACGTGATGGTTTCCGTCCATTTTCTCTAACAATTAAACTTGAAAAATATAATATCTGGTCTGGCTTTACATTTAATTGGTTGACTATATAAAAGTAGCTCTTTGTTTCTACGTTGTGTAAAAAACAGAATCTCTTAATCAAATGTGGATCTGAAAATACAGTACGTAACAAACTTCCGCAAAGCTCATTCTGTCAAATCATCACGTCCGTTACATAAAATAAACAGGGCCGCTTTAGGAAACTTGTCTAATGTATAAAACAGTTTTGTTCTAGCAATGGACAGAGGAGGTATTTGGAAACATGAAAAACATAAAATATCCACTGATTATTAAAGTCAAATGTTTGGCCTTTTGTCACACTTTTGTGCCCTTTAGTGTGAACAAGCCCATATAGAAAATATAAATAATAGATTATACTATTTCTATGACTATTGACATCAAAGTGATTGATTGTAAAAACAGAATTGAGTTGCTGTAACAAGTTTAAATGAGTCCCTGGTACGTCTTGTCTCGAGCTCTCTTCCACCCATCTGCCGTCTTCATGCGTGGGTTTGAACGTGCACTAAAGGCATTGGGTCTCCATCTGCTCGCTTCAATACAGACATGCTTTGACATAGCATAGTTTTAGTGTAACAGTTATCAAAATAGCAATTTGTAAATCCTATTCTTTATGCTTTTCTACTTCGGGTGTGTGGTTGTTATTTATGCCGAGCGCGTTTTTGGTCTAAATTTAAACGGTCCTTGCTCCTCCAAATAATGATTACTCCTAATTGCATTTATGTTGTGTCTGCGCCAGTGTATTTATGGCGGTGCATACACTATGACCAAGAGTGTCCTTAACCGCGTGCTCCCCTATATTTATGACTCAATATCCACACCGGCTACATCGACAATATTATCAAGTGTGCTGAGCCAGCCTTATCTGAAATGAGGGGCCGGTCACACAAAACACTAGCTGGAGCATTGCCTCTTCATCACCCGGGCTTGCACACACATTTGCAGACGCCGCTGTTGTGAAGTGCTCAGAGATTTTATATGGAAAAAAATATATAAATCTGGGGTGTGATGTGTTTTGTGCGATACGTCT